AAGATAATAAATATATAACAGTTTTGATTAGAATCCCGCTGTCTTTTATTTTCTTTAAAGACCGTTCCAAAGAAGCTGGCTAAATTGCCCTGGCTAAATTGCCTGAGCTGAATTTTCAAGAAATTATGTAAATAGACCCATTTCTAAAATTCTTGTTATGCATACTCCATATTTTCTTTTAACATTATGTTTTTATGTTCCGGTTAAGATTACTATGCCTTTAGTTAATATGTATGCAATAATTGTAGAATCATCAACAACTTAAAAGTGCCGTTAAGCTTAATGAGGCCTTCATTTGTTTACATTTGGAACTTAGTAGAATAGTAGTGATTTAAGTAAGTCGGTGCATTACCTTCGGTGTCTTTTTGTGCCAGTGGAACAAAAATTAACTTTCACTTTTGTACACGGGAATTTTGCCTTCCTGCCCATCGGAATTTCTTGTTTTGGTGTAAAAGCTGTAATTTTAATTGTAAAAATTGTTTTTTAGCTGTTTTTAACTATATCCGGAGTTTGGTTTTTCGGTATTTTACAATTTTTCATGAAGATGTTTTGAGGTTTACGTATTTTATCTTGCTGTGAAGTGAGTACTGAATTGATTCAATGAGAAATGTAGCTATAATGAAATTCGGGGAAATAAGTTCAAATCAAGTGCAGCAAAAATGTGCATAATTTAATAGGCCGGACAAGGAAGTCACGTGGCATTCCATATAATTATTTAACAAATGCATACTAGTCTTAATTACAAATCCAGGTATTTTCTGTAGAGTACATGGTCATTCCAAGAACAGGAAAATTTATTTTCTTGAATTCTTCGTTTAAATTTTGATGAAGTTGTACCAACAGTCACATTTTTTTAAATTCTTTTTATTTATTAGAATTATAAATACGTTATTGAGATATGATTATCTTTGGACGTATCTAATCCAATTTTTGCTCAAAGAAAAAAAAAAGAAATTTCCGTTGCAGAATTTTTTCGGAACAGAAGATCATTTCAGTTAAGGCTGATAATACTGCTTCGAGATTCTAACACTAAATGTAACGAATTTGAAGAACATATTCAATCATTTCAATCTCAAATATTTCTTATTACCACCTTCGTAACGAATAGCGACTTTTTATTTTTCAGTTTCCCCAAACAATATTTCCCCAAACTACAGTCTGTTATTACACTGTAGGGATTTATATTTACTTTAACTAATAATTTAAATTTTTGTTCAGACTTTCCTATAAGCCTTCATTTCCCTAATTGTCAGTGCCAGAATAGTTAAATTTGGTAGTGCGCGTGGAAGAATGCAAATTCTACCTTGAGGAGGAAAAGATTAAATACCGAATTTTTAGAAGGGAAGTTAGAGAGTTGGGCTCTAGCTGCCGTGTCAGCCGTAGGTACGTTTGCTGATTGCTGGTTCAAGTGGCTCAATTGCATTGCCATATTGCCACTAGCTTAGAAGGGGGTTGAAGTTCGGGATCTCGCTGAGCCCCGCAGGTTAGCACTTGTTAAACATTTAAACTTTTAATTTTCAATTATCTGCTTTTGCTTTCTAAAATAAATGCCGGGGAGTGAGGACGACACGAGTTACGATAGCCAATGGTTGGCAAGCGCCTTGAAGTGCCTCTTTTAAAATAACAGTTGAGTGATAGCTTTATTCCAAATAATCCTTAAACCATTTTCGTAGAAATACAGTAATACATGTACTCCAGACACCAGAAGAATTCCAGACATTAGACTGCAGACTTCGAGAATTATTAATACTTTGTAAGGGATTTAAGTTTTACAAACGGTTATTTCATTTTAAAACTTTACTATCCTCCTTTATTTTCTATTTCCGGCCAGAATAAACGCCAACAGATTTAGTTATGCAAATTGAGCTTGAAAACTGTTACGTACCATTTAAGTTGTGACTTTTAGCCAAGAGAGAGAGAAACTTCTCGCTACCTTACCTCGCGCGTGCTTTTCAGTCAGTTCTTGAGGCCAGAACTTAGTTCTTTTTGATACTTGAAGGCATATTGTAGTTCCCGCATTCTGCTCACTACATACGTAAAGCTTAAAAGGCCAATCTTCACGTTACTACTCTCTGTAAAATATATGAATTTAGTTCTTACTTAATTTAGTTAATTTGTAGTTCTTATTTTTGCGTTTCAGACCGTAAGTACTGGTCTTTGTATCCCGAAGTGCGGGAACCGCTGTAAACTGTGAAGAGGAAAGGGTAATTAAACCCTTCTCACACTTGCACGAACATAGTCAACTTTCTGTTCTTACTCAGAACTCCAGTATGTTTGCAAAAGTAATTAGAAAAAATAATAGTCCGGATAACTTGACGATAAAAGAGCGATCCATTCTCAAAACACAAATTGAAATTCATCCAGTACAGAGGCTATTCGCACAATTTTTTAGATTTTATTTCGCTAAACTAAATTGTCTGCTTGAAATCGATATCTAAAGCCACGATAGGTAATACTGTCAACAAGAAAGGAAAAAACGTCAAAATCTGGCTTTAGGTGGAAAAACATTTCCAAATACATATCCAAGAAAAAAATCTGATGTGTGCACCACATGACTTCCTTGTACGGAATATTAAATTATACCCATTTTCCATTATACCATACCAAAATACGAGGTGCACATCTACATGTTATAGCAATCCTATATACAAAATTTCGACGTTCTGAGGCTACTCGTTTTTGGGTTATGCGAGATACATATGTACGTACGTACGTACGCGCGGTGAAAAAGGATATTTGCTTTGAAATATGATTCCTGAAACTTTTCGCGATTAAAATACTTCCTTTTTACTTCGTACAAGCAAGTAAAAAGGAAGGTTTCGAGTGTGTCAAACGTAAGATCTTTAACGTTAAAAGGAAATCCGTCAAGTCAAACGACAGTCGCAAAATCATTGAAAGGCACAGTGTCAACTCTCAACAAAGTAGTTCATGCTGATTTGAATCTTAGGCTAAAAAATCTGATGTATACACCAAATGACTTCCTTGTACGGAATATTAAATTATACGCATTTTTTCTTGCATTTTGTTTAAACTTATTGGATTTAATTATATCTACTTCGCCAACAGCGCATAAACCACAATAGAATAAGTGCATTCTTTAAAATTCACTCTATTTGTTTACCATAGCGACACTCTGGCGCTAGGTTCACTTAACAGTATTATATTTCGTTCATATTATAATTCAGAATGCACAAAATTTGTATCATTTAAAGAATCACTTAATCGTTGACACATGTTCTATTCAAGTACTATAATAAAGCTAGAACGATGTGTAAAAGAAATTAAGCAAACAAAACAAAAAAGAAACAGTTTTTCACAGACGATTGAGTATTTCTCATTCAATTAATTCAGTTCTCACTTCGCGACAAGGCAAAAATACATAAAAACTCAAAATATCTCTACTAAAAATTACTAAATATTAAAAATTAAATTACTAATTATTAAAAATTAAGTAAATCTTAAACACTTATTTCCTCGAAAAAATTCCAGAAAGGATTAAGCATGATTTAAATCGCAATAATAAATGAAGGCGTTTATCTTTGTTGTTGCGAAGCTACGTTTCTCTAGATTGGCAACAAATCCGCTATCCTGCTGTTTCAAATGTAAACAAGCAATGGCCGCCATCAAAATAGGCTTAGCGGCACTTAAACAACTTTTAAATTGTTGATAATTCTAAAAATATTGCACACAGATTTACTAAAGGCATAAAAACCCTTAACCGGAAGATAAAAACAACATAATTCAATCATTTTTAAAGAAAAAAATGTACAATTTGCTAACATATAAGAGTAAAAAAACTGAGATCACTGAGCCGGGTAACAGAGTGGATTATATATATAAATGTATTTATATACGTTTGGTGCGGCCGAGTGCAACCAAAATACGAGGTGCACATCTACATGTTATAGTAGTCCTATATACAAAATTTCAACGTTCTGAGGCTACTCGTTTTTGAGTTATGCGAGATACATACGTACGTACAGACACTACGAAAAATTCTCTTCAGAATTCATTTCAAAGCAGTTTTATAATTTTTTTGGAGGAAAGAGTCTTTTATTCTGTCCTTACGTACAGATATCACGCAAAAACATCGTTAAATTGCATTCGAAAGTGGTCAAAGTGGATATTTTCGTTGAAATATGCTGCCTGAAGCTTTTACAATACTTCCTTTTTACTTCGTACAAAAAAGTAAAAAACATATTGTTCATCGTCTTTCTCCACGACACATCGCCGAACGCAGAACGTGCTGCAGAATTCTTCCTGTGAAGCATTTATCGGGACTAAAATGGAAAACTTTTTTCACAATAGAGGAATCTTGGGTGTATATAAATGACTGCAATAAAAAGAAATCCATTTTATTGTCATCAAAAGGAGAGAAAAAGCTTAAAACGTGGTTCAAAGAATCTAAAGAAAGTTTTCCAAAAAACATCTATGCTTGTTGTTGATTTTTAATGTAACGGAAAATTTAAAATAAAGAGAGCGGAGAAAAATGTTAAGACCAACTCCATTTATATTATATCACCCAGTTTCAAATATGAAATTCTTTTCACCCACAGTTCCATCAATCAATTGAATTGCATCGAGACAAAGCAAGCAGCCACACGTCAAAATCCACTGTTAATTTCCTGGGGAAAAAATGGAATAAGTACTTCTTCCGATACTATAAAAGTTCTTAAATATACTTAACAACTATTTTCAAATCATTTCAGTCCCTCGCATCCATACTGCAATTCCGTAGTCGCATAAAATGCCATCATCTTCCGAGCAGTTAGCATCTTTTTAAGTTAAAATGGTTACCAATAAAATGGCAGTTCAGACAAAATCGACAATTAAAATAAATATTCTTATAATCAGCAATTAAAAATTCATTTCATTCATTCATGAATCTTAAATGGGAAATGTAACATAAACCGAATACCTTTCACTTTGGATCAAACGAATCTTTTCGTATCTTCAATTTCACTTCCGAGTATTAAGTCGGCGGGGAAAAAACGGGGAGGGAACCAATGATAATGCTAGATTCCCGGATGGCGCTGAGCGTTTTAAGCCTTATTTTCATAATGACAGAATAAACAGTCACAGTTACGCGAGAGTCTGCAATACAGAAGGAACGTTCATGGCTATCGCAGAAGTGAAGGACATGGCGGCGGAGGGTGAGAATTATTCCTTTCATTTTATTTGTTCTTTAAAGATGAATTTTCGTTGGAGTCATCTTTATTTATAACATTGACTGATACAGATAGGGATCTCTAACTCTTTCTTGACTGAATTGGATGATATTTAAATTTCGCTATATATATATATAATATATATTATTTTTAATATAATAGAAAGAAACTTAATTTAATAACTAAGTAAAAACTAATTTATTCGTCTCAAAATTATATAACGAGCATTAATTAATTAAAGGGTAGCAATTTCTACAAAAATACTTTTACTTTTACAATAGGGCTCAATATTTGAGTACATAAGAACGCAGAGGCCTTTTTAAGTATACTGTTTATTATGCAGTAAACAAATTAAAATATCGGGTTTTAACGAAAGTTTCCCGCCACCACAAATATCGTCTACGCAAACAGTTCACGTTTTCGTGTTTAATAAAATTTTATGGAGCGATTTTTGGCATTTGAAAGAAAGAGACTTGGTTTGGAACACTGTATTATGAAATTTGTAAAATAAATGTCGTTATCATTCAATACAAGGTATCTAAAATGGAATTATCACGCTACCAGATTACAACCACCATTTAGTTCCAGTTCTGCTGCAAACAGTCAGCTACAGAATGTCACTTAATCATGTGTCTAGCTTTAGGTACTAATGTTGTATCATATGACACTGTGAAGGTTTGCTACCGAAAGTTCGAAAACAAGAACTATGACATTCCAGAAGCAGAGAGCTCTCGCCGGCCTACTGATGTTGATGAGGCCCCTCCTGCGAGAACTTGCGGAAGAAGATCAGTATGCAACTACTCGAAAGCTTGCTAAGGAGTTAGACCATGGGTGTCTAAACTATGACCGTTTGAGGATAGCACTGCAAAGAAAAAAAAATTTGCGGGGCCACACATACAATATTTTTTAACAAATTGAAAAAAAAAATTAGTTCTATGCTATTTTATTAAAATTAATTAAGTTCTTTTTATTAATATTTTTTTAATTTGAATTAGATATGTATAGTACATATTTATTATTAATTTGTAAAAGTTTCGTTTCATTTAGTTTGGATTTCATAAAGATGAAAAAAAATTTCAAATTGAGATGGATGAATTTGCTTTTGTTGAACAAGCAAATCGGTATCGGGTTCAATAGACGAGGTTCCAATTCTTGATGCATTTTCAAGATTTTTGTCAGTGATCTTTGTCCTGTTCTTATTTTTTGTACGCTTCATTCTTGAGATTAATTGTTCACAAATATAGGTACTGCCAAGAGCTGAAGACATTAATAAAGCATGATTGTGAAAATTAGGATATTTATCGCGGGGTAGGTAATCTTTATAAAACTCCAGTAAAGAAACATTTTCAATTTTTTTTTTTCAGTTGAATGTCACTTTGCAGTTAATACATCATGACATACAAGATATTTTTATTTAAATTTTTATTTTAAAATAAATTGTCAACGAATCGATTATATATGAATCAAATTCAAACACTTATTTTTTAAATCAAAATGTGGAAATTTAAATACTTTTATAATCTGCATTTGAGCCGCATTTTAAAGACTTTTGGGCCACACTTTAGACACTAATGAGTTAGATTTTAGTGCCATGTCTGTTAGTCACTCCACGCATAGCATAAACTTGACGCGCAAGATCAATCGCTGAGTGCCGCATGAGTTGACTCGAGCAGATATGGACAGACGTGTTCGGGCCCGAAATAATGTGCTCGAATATGAGCGCAAGGACAAAATTATGGACCGGATCTTCACGTGTGATGAAAAGTGGATTTACATGAAAAACACTGAACGAAAAGGGGGTTGATTTGCGACCGTTGGGACCAGCGGCGGTTACAGCCGAAAACATCGCGGCAAAAACATCGCAGACGAAAACGTCGCGGAGAACAACACAAGGCGAAAACGTCGTGCTACAAAACATCGTGGGAGAAAGCATCGCAAAGAGAAAACATCGCAGTTCTAAAACATCGTGGTACAAAACATCGTCGTCGAAAATAAAGTGGTTCAAAAACTTCGCAGTTTAAAAACATCGTCGTCGAAAATATCGTTGTAAGAAATAAAGTATCTAGAAATCATCGCATGACGATAACATCGTAGACATGCTTTTTTCAGGCTTTGATAAATGTAAATAGATATTCCCGTAATGATTTGTGTGGGCAAGATGGAAAGAAGGATAATTTTTACTTTCATATTTTTTATTAATCAATACATTTTTGCTGAGAAAATTAAAAGGGAACTTAAGCATAGAAAATTAATGCAACTAATAGCACTTAATAGAATTTTAAACCGACATAGTTAACTAACAAAGGCCATTAATAAATTATTTTTTATAAAGTTCTTACTGGTAATTTTCATGAAAAGTATAATCTATAAGATGCATTTAATTTTCTATGCTTAAGTTTCCTTCTTACTTTTTCAGAAAAAATTTTGTTAGTTAATAAAAAAAAATGTGAAAGTAAAAATTATCCTTCTTTACATCTTGCGCTCACAAATCATTATCGGAATATCCATTTACAATTATTAAAACCTGAAAAAAGTATGCCTGCGATGTTATCGTCATGCGATGATTTCTAGATACTTTATTTTTTACAACGATATTTTCGACGACGATGTTTTTAAACTGCGAAGTTTTTGAACCGCTTTATTTTCGACGACGATGTTTTGTACCGCGATGTTTTAGAACTGCGATGTTTTCTTTTTGCGATGTTTTCTCCCACGATGTTTTGTAGCACGACGTTTTTGCCTTGCGTTGTTTTCTCCGCGACGTTTTCGTCCGCGATGTTTTTGTCGCGATGTTATCGGCGGACACCACCAGCGGCAGCGTCGCAAAGCGCAATTTGACTAACAAAAAGATCATGCTTTGTATCTGGTGGAATCGCCGTGGTATTATCCACTTAAAGTATCTAGGAAAAGGTAAAACCTTCAACAGTGAGATTTACAGCGAGATGCTAGTCCGTGTTGACGCTGCTTTCAAGGGCAAAATGCCAAACTGAGTTCTGTCGCAAAAAGGTAATGTTTCATTAAGATAATGCAACACATGTCTGCATTCACCGTCTGGACTCTGTACGGACTCGAATGGGATCTTTTGCCACACCCCTCCCTATAGCATCGACATTGCTGCTTCAGACTTCTACCTTTTTTCACATCTGCAGCTAGATCTTGTTGGTGCTATCTGCCATTCTGCACAGGACGTCCGAAGTGAGGTTGATCTGTTTTTGGACTCACGGTTACCAATTTTCTGTACCGAAGGCTTTGAAAAACTACCAAAATGTTGGCAGAAAAATCATAGATTTGACTGGTGATTACTATCCGCACTAAAGGTATTCCTTTCATGTTTTTTGTCTAACTTTATAAAGAACTTTTTTGGCAGAAAACTTTCGTCACAATACTATATTTTCGAACTTTCCAGTTACCAGAAACACATATAATAAGCATAATAAGCACAAACAAATATTGTAAATGATACAAGGAGGAAAAAAGAAAAGAAAGTACTTAGAACAAAATGTTATTGCCTTGAATTCACTTGCTGTTAAGTGTTATATTTGACTTCCTGTATTGGAATGTTATTGTGTTAAATTTAGACATTCCCTTGATAACGAAAGAATAAAAAGCAATAACATAATTGATTTATCCTAATTTTCTTATCAACTGACCTCTCGGGCGCACCAGCGGCCGAGCGGTAAGTCGCTGAACACTGGTAGTTCGGTCCGAGATTGGAATCCCGCGAACGGGCTGGCTGCATGGGTGTCTTCGTGGTTTTCCCCATATGTAACGTGTATACGAGCCAGTTCCCTCAAAAAGTCCTCCACGAAAGCATTCCTCCCCTTAGGCAGATAGCCCTCGAGGCTTTGCCATAAGCACTCACACAGAACTGACCTCTCGAGATATTTTGCATTAGAGCTGCATACTCCCTAATTTAGCACTTTTCTGTACATATCGAAGTTAGTCCTGCAAATTTATGAACATCAGGCTGATTCTTCTTACCTTTAGCACCTCCAATAACCGTTATTCATCGTGTTGTTTTAAAAACTTTTTAGAATGTGTCATATCATAAACAAGTTAGCAAGATAAATTACGTTAAGTTGAAATAGGGATAAATTTTGTATTTTACAAATGTATGAAAAGAAACATTTAAAAAAAGTTTTTTTATATGGAAACATATTCTTAAATTTGTACCAATATTTGGAAATATTTTACGTTGATATCAAAATTAGTATGTTTTGTTGATAGCCAGTAAATATATTTGATATTTTCGGTCCGATAAAAGTGATTTGCTTAAAGAAATGCATAGCGCCTTTACAAAGTTACAATTTGTACAAAATCAAAATTTCAAGAAAATAACTGTTATATCTTAGCCTTCGAGATACAATCCTTGCAAGTCTATGCCACGTTTTCACACGTTCACTACAGCTGCTTGATTCCTGCGCAGAACTCAACTTTTCCGGTGCTATTTAAGCCGGTTGCGGTTTTTTTTTAATCTCTTCAGTGATGTGAAAGTAACGAACGACCTTTGACTAAGACTTCATTTTAGGAAAGTGAAAGTAGTCTGAAGACGCCAAATCCACTGAATGAGAGAGGTAGATTGAAAATTGTGATGCTTCCCCTCCCCCATCTAGAAACTGCTTGTCGGGAATGAAATTATTGTTGCAACAGAAACTGGCTTTTCGATTGAGCTTTTCCGTTCTAATGAGCTGAATTCTCTTTGGAATCCTTTCCCTTATGTTATCGTCTCATTAAATCCCGTCTAATTACATATAAGGATCAATTACAGTTATTCCATTACTAAACGAGTTACAGTTATACAGAGACCGTATCAAAATGTCGTCAAGTTTGGCCACTTTTAGGGATTTCTCGTTAAATTTGCGACTAAAATTAATCGTCAAAACCGTCTCCAGTTTGGGGATATCTCGCCAATTAAGCAAGATAGCCATTTGTCTCAGTATGCAATGGAATTGCCCTCAAACATTTCATATTACATTATACAAGTT